CTGTACCACCACCACTACCTGTACCACCACCACTACCCCTGTACCACCACCACTACCCCTGGCACCACCACCACTACCACTGTACCACCACCACTACCACTGTACCACCACCACTACCACTGTACCACCATCACACCACTGCTACCACTACCACTGCCCTACCACTGTACCACTACCCCTGTACCACCACCACTACCACTGTAGCACCACCACTACCCTGAACCACCACCACACCACTGCCCACCACTGTACCACCACCCCTGTACCATCACCACTACACACCACCACCACTGTACCCACCACCACTACCACTGTACCACCACCAGTACCATTTTCCTCCCTACCTCATTACTGCCTTCCACCTACCTTCCCTCCCTCCTGTCGTCCTCCTTTTCACCCCCTCCCCCTCCCTCCACCCCTCTCCTCTCCCCCTCTCTGGTCAGTAATTAACGACAAGGGTCAGGTCTGGCAGCCACCACCTCTAACCCTCAACTTTGCCCAATATGCTCCCTCACTCACTCTCTACATGACCTGGCTCACTAACCCTCTCTCTCTCTATCTCTCTCTCTCTATCTCTCTCTCCTCTCTCTCTCTCTCTCTCAATAAGCCTACACATGCTCTCTATATCTTATTAGCCCCTACTCTCTCTCTCTCTCTCTCTCAGTAGGCTTACACTTGCATCATGTAAGCTGCTTTGGCACACACATACATTTTCTCTCTCTGTCTCTCACTAGGCCTACACTCTCTCTCTAGGCCTACACTCTCTCTCTCTCTCTCTCTTGCTCCTTCTTCCCGGATAACTCTCCCTCACCTTCCCTCATTTCCTTCACCTCCCAATTCTCCCTTCACCCTCAGCTCTTTTCTTAATGTGGCACTGGGTGAGGTTCCCTGGCACTGGATGAGGGCTCCTGGCACTGGGTGACGGCCGCTGGCACTGGGTGAGGGCCCTGGCACTGGATGGGGCCCCTGGCACTGGGTGAGGGCCCCTGGCACTGGATGAGGGTCCTGGCACTGGGTGAGGTCCTGGCACTGGATGGGGCCCCTGGCTCTGGGTGATGTTCCTGGCACTGGATGAGGGTCCTGGCACTGGATGGGGCCCCGCACTGGGTGAGGGCCCCTGGCACTGGATTAGGGTCCCACTGGATGAGGGTCCTGGCACTGGGTGGGGCCTGGCTCTGGGTGATATTCCTGGCACTGGATGGGGTCCCTGGCTGCTGGATGGGGCCCTGGCACTGGGTGGGGGCCCCTGGCACTGGATTAGGGTCCCTGGCACTGGATGAGGTCCCTGGCATAGGTGAGGGGCCTGGCTCTAGGTGAGGGTCCCTGGCACTGGATAGGGTCCCTGGCACTGGATGAGGGTCCCTGGCACTGGATGGGGTCCTGGCATGGGTGAGGGCCCCTGGCACTATGTGAGGGGCCCCTGGCATAGGTGGGGGCCCTGGCACCTAGGTGGAGGCCCCTGGCACTAAGTGGGGGCCCCCTGGCACTAGGTGGGGGCCCTGGCACCTGGTGTGAGGGCCCCTGGCACTAGGTGAGGGGGCCCCTGGCACTGGGCAGGGGCCCTGGCACTAGGTGAGGGACCCTGGCTAGGTGAGGACCCTGAGGAGGCCACCTTTACAGCCGGAGGGTCTATTGTTTCCTCCACTGGTGACCTCATTGGCACGGCCTTGTATGCACCGGGTCCCTTCATCCCTCCCCCTCCCTCTCCCCTCCCTCCTCCCTCCCCTCTCCTTCACTCTCCTCCCTCCCTCTCTTCCTCACTCTCCTCTCCCTCTCTCCTTCACTCTCCTCCCCTCCCTATCCTCTTCTTCCTCTCCTCCCTCTCCTTCTTCATCACTTTCTCCCCTCCTTCTCTCCCACCCCTCCCTCTCCACCTCTCCTACCTCTTCCTCCTCTCATCTCCTTCACTCCACCCTACCCTCTCATCCTCTCCTTCCACCCCACCCCTCCCTCTCACCTCTCCCTCCCACCCCTTCCTCTCATCTCTCCTTCACTCCGCCCCTCCCTCTCATCTCTCCTTCCTCTCACTCCCCTCCACTCCCTCTCCCTCTCCTTCACCCCCAAACAAGTTAATGACTTAAGGCAGAGGGAGAGAAGGAGGAGGAGAAAGAGAGGGAAGAAGAAGAGAGGGGGGAAGAAGGAGAGAGGAAGAGAAGGAGGAGAGAAGGAGAAGGAGAAGGAGGGAGAGAAGGAAGAGACAGGAAGAAGAAAAAGGAAGGAGGGAGGAAGGAAGAAGGAGAAAGGAAGAAAGGAAAAAAGGAGGAAAGATGGAGGAAAGAAGGAGGAAGGAGAGGAGGAGGGAAGGGAGAAAGGGGAAGAAAGAGAGAAGATGGAGAGAAGGAAGAGAGGAGAGAGACTTTACTACTACCCGGCATTAGAGACCTTCAAGAGACGACTGGACTCCATCAACCACAGGCCCCTATGCAGGTCAGGACACAGTAACAAGCTAGTTGATCAGGTCACCTCTCGTTACCTCCCTAGGATGCTTGGTCAATGGTCGGGCTGAAGGGTAGGGGTGAAGGGGGTAGGGTGAGAGGGGTGGTGGGTAGAGAGAGGGTGGTGGGTAGAGATGAGAGGGGTGGGGAATGATAGGGTCAGGGGAGGTGAAGGGGTGGGGGAAGAAGAGGGTGGGGGTAAGAGGTGAGAGGGGTGGGGAGTAAGGTGAGAGGGGGTGGGGGTAGATGAGAGGGTAGGGTGGGAGGTGGGGGTAGAGTGGAGGTGGGAGTAGAGGTGGAGGGTGGGGTAGGAGAGAGGTGGGGGTAGAGAGGAGGTGGGAGGTGGGAGGTAGGGGTGAGGTGGTGTGGGGTGGAGTTGAGAGGGTGATGGGTAGGTGAGGAGGGTGGAGGTTAGGTGAGAGGGTGGGGTAAAATGAAATGGGGTGAGGTGGGGATTGGGGTGGAGGTGGGGATTGGGAGTGAGAGGTGGGGGTAGAGGTGAGAGGGGTGGGGGTAAGTGGAAGAGGTGGGGGTAGGAGAATGAAAGGAAGGGGTGGGGGTGAGAAATGATACAGGTCAGGGGGGTGAGGTGAGAGAGTTGGGGTAGGTGAGGTGGAGTGAAGAGTGTAGTAGAATTGAAGGGTGGAGGAGTGAGGTGGGGTAGGAGGGAGTGGGGGTAAAATGAAGGAGTGGGAGTAGAATGAAGGGGGTGGGAGTAGGTGAGAGGGGTGGGGGTAGAGAGAGGAGTGGGGTAGAGTGAGGAGGTGGGTGAGGAGGTAGGGTGAGAGTGGTGTGGGGTAGAATGAGAGGGGTGATGGGTAGGGTGAGAGGGTGGAGGTTAAGGTGAGAGGGGTGGGGTAGGTGAAAGGGGTAGGGGTGAGAGGGGTGGGGATTGGGGTTGGAGAGGGGTGGGATTGGGGTGAGAGGTGGGGTAGGTGAGAGGGGTGGGGTAGGGTGAGAGGGGTGGGGGTAGGGGTGAAGAGGGTGGGGGTAGGGTGAGAGGGGTGGGGGTAGGGGAGAGGGGTGGGGGAGAGGAGGAGGGTAGGTGGAGGGGTAGGCGAGAGGTGGGGGTAGGGTGAGAGGGTGGGGTGAGGGGTGGGGTAAGTGAGAGGGGTGGGGGTAGGTGAGAGGAGTGTAGTGAGAGGAGTAAAGGTGGAGAGGGGTGGGGGTAGAGAGGGGTGGGGGTAGGGTGAGGAGGGTAAGGGAGGGGTAGGGGCGAGAGGGGTGGGGGTAGGTTGAGAGGGGTGGTGGGTAGGGTGAGAGGGGGTGGTGGGTAGGGTGAGAGGGGTGGTGGGTAGGGTGAGAGGTGGTGGGTAGGGGTGAGAGGGGTGGTGGTAGGTGAGAGGGGTGGGGGTAGGAGATGGGGTGTGAGTGAAGGGGTGTAGAGGAGAGTGGGGGTAAGGTGAGAGGGGAGGGAGAGGGGTGGTGGGAAGGAGGGGTGGTGGGTAGGGTGAGAGGGGTGGGGTAAAGTGAGAGGTGGGGGGTAGGTGAAGGGGGGTAGGTGAGGGGTTAAGGTGAGAGGGGTGGGGGAAGTTGAGAGGGGTGGGGAGTAGGTGAGAGGGGTGGGGTAGGGTGGAGAGGGTGGTGGTGTAGTGAGGGTGGTAGGTGAGAGGGGTGGTGGGTAGGGTGAGAGGTGGTGGGTAGGTGAGAGGGGTGGTGGGTAGGGGAGAGGTGGGGGAGAGTGAAGGGGTGGGGGTAGGGAAGGGGTGGGGGTAGAGTGAGGAGTGGGGGGTAAGGTGAGAGGGGTGGAGGGGTGGGGAGGAGAGGTGGGTAGGGGAGAGGGTGGTGGGGTAGGGGTGAGAGGGGTGGGGGTAAAGTGAGAGGGGTGGGGGTAGGGTGAAGGGGTGGGGGTAGGGGTGAGAGGTGGGGGTTAAGGTGAGAGGGGTGGGGGAGGTTGAGAGGGGTGGGGGTAGGTTGAGAGGGGTGGGGGTAGGTTGAGAGGTGGGGTAGTGAGAGGGTGGGGTAGGGAGAGGGGTGGGGGGTAGGTGAGAGGAGTGGGGGTAGGTGGAGGTGGGGGTGAGAGGGATGGAGGTAGGGTGAGAGGAGTGGGGTGGGGGTAGGGTGATTGATTTTTAATTTTGCGCTTACAGCGGTTACTTATTGTGCACCCCACACTCATCCTGTGAGCAGTAGCAAAAGGATTATAGCTTGCAAAGGGTCGAGGGGGGGTGGGGGTAGGTGAGAGGGGTGGGGTAGGGGCGAGAGGAGTTGGTGGTAGGGTGAGAGGGGTGGTGGGTAGGGTGAGAGGAGTTGGTGGGTTGGGTGAGAGGGGTGGGGTGGAGGTCAGTGAGGGTCGTGCGGTGAGGGACCAGTGAGCCCCCAAAATTGATTACAGGCAGAATACAGGTGATTTATGACGTCTGTACTATATAATGATTAGGTTAGGTTAGGTTAGGTTACGTTAGGTTATGTCAGGTTAGGTTAGGTTACGTTAGGGTAGGTTAGTCTAGATTTTCACTAGGTTAGGTTAGGTTTACGTGTTTAATGTTCATACGATCTATTTTTTCCTCCGGTAATCAGACGCTGGACTAACACTCACACAGCTGTTCCCTTCCTGACTCTTACCTCGTGTTGCTGCTGCTGATCCTCTCACACTCTGTAGACAAACAAAGATCACAATAAGATATACAAGTTCACCAGTAAGGCAACGTGTAAACAATCACTAGCAAGACAACGTAAAACAATCACTAGCAAGACAACGTGTAAACAATCACTAGCAAGACAACGTGTAAAGTCACTAGCAAGACAACGTAACAATCACTAGCAAGACAATGTAAACAATCACTAGCAAGACAACGTGTAAAGTCACAAAGACAACGTAAACAATCACCAGCAAGACGACGTAAAGTCACTAGCAAGACAACGTGTAAACAATCACTAGCAAGACAACGTAAACAATCACACAAGACAACGTAAAGTCACTAGCAAGACAACGTGTAAGCAATCACTAGCAAGACAACGTGTAAAGTCACTAGCAAGACAACGTTAAACAATCACTAGCAAGACAACGTAAAGTCACTAGCAAGACAACGTGTAAACAATCACTAGCAAGACAACGTGTAAAGTCACTAGCAAGACAACGTAAACAATCACTAGCAAGACGACGTAAAGTCACTAGCAAGACAACGTAAACAATCACTAGCAAGACAACGTGTAAACAATCACTAGCAAGATAACGTGTAAAACAATCATTAGCAAGACAACGTGTAAAGTCACTAGCAAGACAACGTAACAATCACTAGCAAGACAACGTAAAGTCACTAGCAAGACAACGTAAACAATCGCTAGCAAGACAACGTGTGTCACTAGCAAGACAACGAAATAGTTACTAGCAAGACAAAGTGTAAACAATCACTAGCAAGACAACGTAAACAATCACTAGCAAGACAACGGTAAACAATCACTAGCAAGACAACGTGTAAACAATCACTAGCAAGACAACGTGTAAAGTCACTAGCAAGACAACGTGTAAATAGTTACTAGCAAGACAAAGTGTAAACAATCACTAGCAAACACCAGCAGGTGGACTACAGTTTCAGGGTTATGTTACAGTGTAGCTCGGGTGACAAAGAGATCACCACACACCTGTAGTACAACTCATGTGACCTCAGCAAGTGTGACGTTACCAGGTGTACGAAGCATTGTTGTTACTGACCGCTAATAGTAGCCATCAAACAAGACCTGACCTCACCTAATGTATCCTGACCTAATTTAACCTGACCTAACCTAATGTATCCTGACCTAATTTAACCTTCCTAACCTAATCTAGCCTGATCCTAACCTTACCTAACCTAATCTAACCTGATCCTAACCTTACCTAACCTAATCTACAACACTGCCTAACCTTACCTAACCTAATCTAACCTGATCCTAACCTTACCTAACCTAATACAACCTAACCTAACCTAACCTCATATCACCTGACCTGACACCACACACTCTGCCATACAATACCTGACACTTGCTACACTCTGACTCAAGTCCTGTAGTGTGGATAACTCTACGCATCCAGCTACCCACATTTAGGTTAGGTTAGGTTACGTTAGATGAGTTAGAGTTAGTTTAGTTAGAGTTAAGGTTTATTGACTAGAATTAGAGACTGGTTACAGATACGTTAGGTTAGAGTTAGATTAGTTAGGTTAGGGCAAATGAGTTGAACAGAGTGGTTTCTGAGGACATTCATTCCCCCGTGCCCCCAGGTATATGTCCTCTAGGTGTCCCTCAGGTGTCCTATAGTATTTAAAGCCTCACCCGGTGGACTACTGGCTCACGTGATGCTGCTGAGTGAGTGTTCGTCGTCACCACAACACGAGCCCCCCCTCCCCGCCCTAAAAAAACATAAATATTGAGGTTCTAATTCATAAGGTCCTTAATTCTGAAGAGGCTGAGTTGCTGTGCTGAGAACTACCTCCTCTCTCTCTCTCTCTCTCTCTCTCTCTCTCTCTCTCTCTCCTCTCTCTCTCTGTCTGGTTTTCTCGTAATCTCTGTTTCTCTCTCTTTTCTCCTTCTCTGCTTTATTATGTATGTATGTATGCATGTGTGGTGGTGGTGGTGGTGCAGGAGAAGAACACCACACCACCCGTTAGAGTGAATCATGGTAATCCTGCTGGTGTCACTCACTCTCAACTAGACTGAGGACAGGCGATTGGGATACATTTTAATGGATCACCTGATGATTAACACTAACTTACTTCACTTGATTTAAAACCCAAACCTAACCTAACCTGCTACCTAACCTAATTAACCTAACCTAGCAAACCTAACCTAATTAACCTTAAATTAACCTAACCTAACCTAACTTAACCTAACAACAATTTAAACATAACTTAACCTAGCATAACCTTACTTAACCTAATAAAACCTAAACCACACTTAATCTAACGTAACCTAAACCTAAGTTAACCTAACCTAGCAAACCTAACTTAACCTAGCCTAACACTACACCTAACCTAACTATCATGAACCAAATCAAACCAAGCAAAACACTAACTAACTAATAAAACACCAAACCTAACCTAACACTAACCAAACCTAACGCAACAACTAACGCCACTAACCAACCTAACATACCAAACCTAACAAGCTGCCAACGACAAACCTAACGCTAACCTAACTATCAGCAAACCAAACCTAACATAACCTGACCACTAACCACAACTAACCGAAACACTGCAACCCTAACATCGCTAACCAAACCAAACCAACGTAACCTAACAACGCTAACCAACACTAACCTAACCTAACCATAACCAAACCTAACGCTAACTAACACTAACCAAACCTAACGCTAACCTAACTAACGCTAACCAAACCAACCTAACCTAACGCTAACCTAACCAACACTAACCAACACTAACCAAACCTAACGCTAACCTAACTATCGCTAACCAAACCAAACCTAACGGTAACCTAACCTAACTCACCCAGGTAGCATTAACGAAATTAATATCATCAAGTGAAAATCTGTCATATTTATTTATAGTCTTCACAGTCCTCTTAACATAAATAAAAAAAAAAAAAAAATAAATAAAACCACGATAATTTGTTCTTATATTATTAAACAAAGTCGGATATAAATTTGAGGGCCAAAATGGTCTCTCCTCCCCCCCGCCCGTCATACATAACTAGATAGTGTAGGTGTGCAATTAAAACCAGCCAGCGACCACAGCACCACGTACACCACCACGCTCCTGCATATAATTATTGCATTAGTTCCCCCTGCTGTCTGTATCCCGTTTTCTCTCACTGTAATACCTGCTGCAGTACATATTACAGCGTACAGTACAAAAAAAACAATATACGTATAAATTACAGGTGCGTTTTAAACCACAGGTATATGTTAAATTTATAAGTACACATAAACTACAGGTACACGATAGAACTACGTTACACTCAGTACACACCCAAGGTCAAGATTCTCATTGAAAACCCAAATGAGGTAAAAAAACAATGTGTAGTCAAGTCACAGAACAATTTAGACGTCATTTAGGATAACGTCTTCATGTACATTGAACTCAAACATTTTACCCTCTTTTTTTTTTTTTTTGGAGGCATTACCTCACTGAACTGGGTGACCCAATAATAATAATAATAATAATAATAATAATAAGTATAATATTATGTATAATATAATTTTAATAGTTTAAAAAATCATAATAAATTAAAAAAATAAAAATAATAATATTAATAATAAAAGAACCATAAAGAAAAAAGAATCAAGAGCGAAACACAACATATGTACAGTGTGTTGTGTTGTCAAAAATAGAAAGAAATTTTGAGACCCAGCAATTGTGTGTAAATGTATCACAAGTCATATCAGCAACCTGGGACTTGGTCACAATTTTGTGATACATATAGCAGTAGGGTCTACCATTAGACTGAAGATAAACCATCCTAATGTTACCTGGTCTTGAGTTAGGTTAAGGTTAGGTTAGGTTAGGTTGGTTAATATTGGAGAATCAAAATTTGGGCTCAAACACAAAAGGCGTAGCCTGATGCACACATTCTCTCTCTCTCTCTCTCTCTCTCTCTCTCTCTCTTATTGACACACCAGGAGGAGAGAGAGAAGGACTGAGATGGGAAGGAAAGAAGATAGGTGGGTGAGGAGGGAAGGAAGACAGGGGTGGGGAGGTAGGGAAGGAGAGGTTGGAAGGAGACAGAATAAGGGAGGGAGGAGAGGAGGAAGGAGGAGGAAGGAGAGAGAGGGGGAGTGGGAAGGAGGGAGAAAGTCCAGGTAACACTAGCAACCACCTGCCCTCACTCAAGTAACACACACGTGACCATCTACCCTCACCCAAGTAACACTAAGACCATCTCCCCTCACTCCAAATTAACACAAGTGACCATCTCCCTCACCAAGTAACCTAGTGACCATCTCCCCTCACTCAAGGTACACTAGTGACCATCTCCCCTCACTCAGAACAAGCGACCATCTCCCTCACCCAAGTAACACTGCAACCACCTGCCCCTCACTCAAGTAACACAAGTGACCATCTACCTCACCAAGTAACACTAGTGACCATCTCCCTCACTCAAGTAACACTAGCGACCATCTCCCTCACTCAAGAACAAGCGACCATCTCCCCTCCTCCAAGTAACACTAGCGACCATCTCCCTCCTCCAAGTAGCTAGCGACCATCTCCCTCACCCAGTAACACAAGTGACCTCCCTCCCACCAAGTAACACAAGCGACCTCCTCCCCTCACTCCAAGTAACACAAGCGACCTCCCTCCCTCACTCAATGCAAGCGACACCTTCAGGTAACATCTCCTCTCCACCCACAAAAACCTGGGGCTCCCTACTCCTGGCTGATTGATATGACCATGACTCCGGACCAAAACTGACACACTGGACAATACGACACAACAGACAATGCTGGACAATACGACACTGGACAATACGACACACTGGACAATACGACACGCTGGACAAAACGACACCTAGTAAGACGACACACTGGACAATACGACACACTGGACAAAACGACACACTGGACAAAACGACACACTGGACAAAACGACACACTGGACAAAACGACACACTGGACAAAACGACACACTGGACAAAACGACACACTGGACAAAATGGACAAAACGACA